GGGGGGGGGGGGGGGGGGGGAGAGTTGCGCCGGGTCGCAGCCGCGGACTTCTGCCTCAGGTGACCATCCTTGCACGAGAGATCGGCTTGAAGATCGAGCTCGATGATGTTCCGGCACTTGCCTCGCCACGCGTGGTTGCTCGACTTTTTGCGGCGCAGAGCAGAGCAGGTGAAGTCTCTGGTCCCGGAGAAGCTTCAGAAGCCTTTTCCTCAGGCGTGTAAGTTCTCCTTCCGCTCAGGCGCTCGAGTTTCAGTGCCAGAGAAGGTAGGAAGAGGAGACATAAGGAGACTGCTTTTCGTGGCAGCGCCTTGTGTGTCAGTTGGGAAGCGCCCGATGGGAAGAAGCTTGGAGATGCTTTCGTGGAGGCCCCTCTCCCAACCGCTTTGGGGCCCTGTGTTTCTGAAAATCGTCTGCCTGCATCTATCACGACTTGACACGGCGTCTCGTGGGGCAGGAACTGACAGCCTATGATGATGAGCCTCTGCCCAAGTCTATGCAACACAAAAAGCATCACGATTGAGCTTCCGGCGCTACGGGAGACGGGCATGCCGGCTCGTTCTGTTCGGAAGCCGTCGATGCGAGGATGGATGCCCTTCTGGAAGAGGCCGAGAAGGCAGGCGAGGTGCTCCGATTCGTCGGGTCCGTGGACGTGAAGTCGGGCAAGGCGCCCCGCTTTTTTCCGGTGCAGAGCTGATTTTTCTGCAACTTCGAGAGGGCCCTTTTTCGTCCTCTGCAGGCCTCGGTGAAGCTCGGCAGATATCCCAAGGACGGGTCTGAGTATCAGAGGCCCCCGCTTTAAAGCATCGGCTTGTTTTGAGAAACGGAGAGGACCACCCATTCGCCTCCACCCAGTTTGCTGACAACATCTGCGCTGTTTCCTCGAAGCCCTGGCCCGAGAGCTTTCCAGAGCTTCCGCCTTTTCTTTCGCCGAGTCCGCTCTCTACCGGCATGGACTCGCGACACGGCGTCCGCACTGCACTGTCACTGGTTTGTATCGCAAGCTCTTGGCCCCTCATCTCTGCTGTGAACCCAAGCACAATCCACCACGTCAAATCGCAGCAAAGCCCAAGCGATGCTGGGCAGTTGATGCTTCAATTGAACCTTCCGAAACAAGGAAGCGTTTTAATCTGCAGAGTTCCCTTTGGGCATTTCCCTGGCATGTTTTGGTTTTCATACAAGACGAAACGAGGATTTGCCATGCTTGCTTCCCACTCTCTGGTGGGGTTTGCGGGTTCAGAGAATTGAGCTTGCCACCTCTAGGTTTTAGCTACAAGGCTTGTCATGACTTCGAAGCAGTCTAGGTTTAATCACTAACACCACTCTTCAGTTTCGGGTATGCTTTTGCAAGTCTTCTGACAGTTGAGGTCTTACCATGCCCGTTGGCAGTGGCAGGTTCAGGGCTTGCCATGCTTTTTGCTTCGGTTTGCCGAGCGTTTGATTTTCTTATTGCTCCCTGGATTCGGGGGACGTTTTTCCTTTCATCACTGTTCATGTACTTGATTTTTTGGCTCCAGGGTTTGCCAACCCCGTTCACGGTTCAGTGTTTGTTGGCTGTTTTGCTGTGCTACTGCCTCTTCTTAAGGTTTGCTGTTGCTTATTTCGAGTTTGCCACTGACGCCTTGTTTGGGAATTCTCGTCATGTTACTGCAGGATTTGCAAGCTTGTAGATGTTTGCTGTCGCTGCTCTTGTGACGCTTTTCGGCGCACGGCACCTTGAAGCTTTGCGCTTGCCACGGTTTTGACGGTCTCGGGCTTGTCAGTTCTTTTGAGGTTTCGGTTTTATGTCTTTTCACTCTCATAGGCTTTGTGGCGTGCCATTGTTTTTTTGGGTTTGGGTTTTGCAAGTTCCTTCGTGTAGGGTGTGCCAACCTTTGGATGGTGTAGGGCTTGCCGCTTGCCTCGTGATGGGGCTACGGATTGCCAGTCGAATCTTCCAGGCTTTGGGTTTGTGACTGCCGTCAGGGTACGCGGTACATCGTTGGTTTGGATTTTTGAGGGTTTGAGGTTAGGCCTTCAGGCGGCAGGGCTTGTCGCTCCTCGAAAGGTCTAGGGTGAGGGATGGTGAAGGTTAAGGATTTAGGCTGGTCACTCTGCGAGTGGTTTGGGCTGACCATTCCATTGAAAGATTTGGGGCTTGCCAGCGCTTGAAGGATAAACCCTTGCTAAAGCACCAAAACAACTGGCGCAAACCCCAAACTGTCGAAAGGGTGGCAGACGTGAACCACGAAAAAAAAATGGAAAAGCCATGGCAGATTCTTCAACATGGAGGGATAGGCTCAACCGGAACCCACACCCTAAAAGGAATAAATTTGGGGCTTTCGTGGCGTGTCACTGTCCCAGGTCTTGCAAGTATGTTTCTGGTTATTTGTGTCTTTTTTTGTCTGTGTGTACGTGTGTGTCTGTTTCGCTTGCCACTTACTTATGTTTCGCCTGGGTTTGATGGTCCTTGTGAGGTTTGTGAATTCCTTTTCCTGCATGAGGAAGCGTTTCGTAGTTTTCTGCACAGTTTAGGACTTGCCACCCACCTTGAGATTTGAGTTTTCTAATCCGGTCTTCTTGGCTGTTGGGGTTGTCAGTGCTTGTCAATGCCTAGGCTGTGCAGCTTCTGCGGGCTAGGGCTTGCTGCCATTGCCTGTTTCGGATTTGCCACTTATGCCCTTGCGATCTTTTTGTATGTCATGGTGTTCAGCTTCTGGGGTAGGTTTCCCATTCCATTAGCGCTAGGATTTTGATGTTCTTCTCTTCAGTGTCTGTCAATTCAGTGCTTTCGGTCTTTGTGTTCGCTACTCTTTTAACGCTTTCAGGCGCACGGCTCCTTCAAGGTTTTGCTCCTGCCACTGTTCTTGACGGTCTCTTGTAGGCTTCACGATGTGCCATTGCTTTTCGGGTTTAGGTTTTGCAAGTTGATTCGTTTAGGGCTTGCCAACCTTTGAACGGTTTGCCGTTCCGTTTGGGGCTAAGCGTTTGTCACTTGAATCTTGTTGTTGTAGAGTTTGCAATTGGCAATCGGGCCCACCGCTAGCTATTGGCTTTGAGTTTAGTGTTTGCCAGTCTTTTGACAGCTTGAGGTTTGCCATTCCTTTTAGGGTTTAGTGTTGGCACGCACGCCTTGCGGCTTGCCGTTCTTTTAGCAGTTCAGGGTTTGCCATTCCGTTTTGATTGTAAAGGTTTGCCTCTTTCGTCATGAAGGCTTCACAGGTTTCCCGCGTTTATTTCCAGTTCAGGGTGTGCTGCTCTGTAAGCTCAAGGGTACGTCATGACTTGTTCAGGCTTCGTGTTTGGCATCGTTTGCATGGTTCATGTTTGCCACCCTTTTGGCCGTGGGGGCTTCCAGATCCTTTTCAAGCTTAGTGTTTGACATCAGGTCTTCTCGATTTTAGGGTTTGTCTGACGGTTTGCGTTTTTGCCACTTACTTCTTTTTGGCCTTTGGGGTTTCCTGTTAGGGTTTGGGGTTGTGGGTTTGCCAAGTTGTCGACGGTTTAAGGCCTGCCACTCGATTCTGGGTTCAGGGTTTGGCACTTACGATTAAGATTAAGTCTTCAAAGAAGTTATCTAGGTTCTCAGTTTGTCATGTGTTGCAGGGTTCGGGCTAGCCAAACTATGCCAACTTGTTCATCGTTCAGTTCGCCAATAGGCTGCATGGCGGCGGGGCATGTCTGTTTAGGCACCATGTCCTACGTGCTGGCATTTACAAGACCTTCGTGGCTTGGATGCTGAAATGTGCTTGACATCTGATGGGTGCGTTGAGGTAACTCGAATTTAGGGCACACTTCTGAGTCTCAGAACACTCGCCCAAGTGCGTTTACCCAGTTGGCAACACGAAGCTGGACACATACTCGAGTAAGAGCACGTTCAATGCTTTCCTGCTTACTCGGGCTGCATTTAACATGCGCTCGGGCATGAGCGCCATTGAGATCTGCACTAAAGTTTAGGTGCACTTATCACACACTCGTGCTTCGCGGACCGACTGAGCGGAGATTGTGGTGAAGCTCAATCGTGTCCAGAATGAGCCCAGTGACCCTGAAAATACTAGCAGTGTCTATGTGCTTGATGTGGTTTATGTGACCCGGGAGTCACGTGGCTCGAGGCTCATGCTTGATTGCCGGCGTCACCGAGTTCAGAACCAGTACAGAAGAAGAAAAAGTCGTTATCGTGGTTTATAGTATCTGTGCGCGGCTCGTCCTCGTCTGTGTCTGTGGGCACGCGGGTCTTGGGTTTGCACGTTTCATGTTTTGGGGCTTAGGTGTTAGGGTTAAGGGGTTCCACGTGTTGAAGTCACACTGGACGTTATCAGCCCGGCACCCTCCCCAACACCAATCCATGCGATATTGAGAACACCGGAAAGAAAAGACCAAGGTAGGGCTAAGTCTTAAGAAACCGCACCGCCATGTGTGTGTGTGTGTGTGTTGGATTTAGGCCTCGCGACTTCTTTCGTGGTTCGGGTTTGTCCCAGTGGTATCCTAGGCTAGGTTTGTCAGCGCCTTTGCGGGTTCGGATGTATGCCGCGCAAGTTTGAGGGTTTAGGGTTTGCTCTTGTTGTTTATTTCGGGCTTGCCAGGGAATTTTAGATCTTGTTGGCTTCAGGGTGTGTCAATGCCTTTGGGAGTGGCATTTAGGCGCACGGCTCCTTGAAGGCTTTGCGTTTGCCAGTCTCGGGCTTGTCAGCCGTTTTGAGGTTTAGGTTTGTTGAATTGGGTCTGTCTTCTTTTGCTTTTGTCATTGCTTTTCGGGTTGAGGTTTTGCAGATGTAGTCTTGGCTGCGGGTTCGCCAAGCTTTGGACGCTGTAAGTGTGTGGCTTTTCATTCGTGTTGGGCTTAAGGGTCTGTCACTGAGATCTTGTTGTTGAGGGTTTGTCATTGCCACTAGGGTTTACACTTAGGTCTTGTAGGCTTCAGGTTTTCCACATATTCGCGGTTCAGGGCATGCTGCTCCTTTCGGCGTGTACGGTTTGCATTTTTTTCGTTGTTTCGGTCTGCCAACTGATTCCATTTGGCAGTTGGTTATGTCACTGCTCGGAGGGTTCAGGGTTGGCTTGTCCGAGTCCTTTGTTTGCTTAGGGTTGCCATTTCTTGTTTGAGCGCTTGCCACTCGTGTTGGGGGTTCAGGGTTCGGCACTGAGGTTTTTGCAAGCTGAAGGGTTTGTCATGATTTGTCGAGTTTTGGTTTTGCATGTTTTGCCTGCATGGTTCAGGTTTGCCAATGTTTGGACGGTTTGTGTTTGCTGCTTTTCGTCGAGTTTAGGATTCGCCATCAAGTCTTGTCGACTTTAGGGTTTGTCTCATGGTTTGCGGTCTGTTTTTTTGCGTTTGTTTCGTTTGACACTTACTTTTCCTTGGCCTCTGGGGTTTCCTTTCAAGGTTCGGGTTTGGGGTTCGCTATTCTATTGGTGATTTAGTGCGTGCGCCACGCGATGCTGGGTTCAGTGTGTAGTACTCACGATGATGTTTTCCAGGTTCTCAATGCGTGATTTCTTGCAGGGTTTCGGTTGGCCAACCTGTTCGATGCCACTCCTTGTGAGGTTAGGAGTTCGCCACAATGGTGTTGTAGGCTTGGTTTGTCAGTGCTTTGTGGTGTTCAATTTTAGGTTTAGGGTTTTGGGTGTGCCCCTGTTGCTATTTTCGGGTTTGTCGCTACGTTCTTGTTCAGCCTTTCTTTCTAGTTGGTTTATGGCAGGAGTTGCAAGGTTGTAAGTGTTCGTTTTCGTTGCTTTTCTGCCGCATTCAGGCGCAGGGCTCCTTGAAGGTTTTGTTTTCATCACTGCTTTGACGGTCTCCAGCGTGTCAGTTCTTTTGAGGTTTAAGTTATGTGGCTTAGGGCTCTCTCCCCGGCTTTGTGTTGCTTGCCTTTGCTTTTCGGTTTTAGGTCTCGCAAACCTTAGGACGGTGTAGAGCGTGCCAGCGATTTTGGGGTTAAAGGTTTGTCATTTAAACCTTGTAGTTTTAGAGTTTGTGATTGCCAACACAAAGTTTACCGCTTGTCATTGGCTTGTCTGTTCACGGTTTGAGATTTGCCACATCTTTTCGCCTAGGGCTTAAGGTGGGAGTTCAGGTTTTGCATCTGCCATTTTAGCGGGTTGAGGCTACTCAATTCTTGTAGGGTCAGGGTGTGTCGCTCCTTTTGGGCCTTTAGCAGGTTTAGGGTTTGCCATTTTTGTTGGTTTCGGCTGGCGACGTGAGCCCATTTGGTGGTTGGTTTTGTCGCTGCTCGGAGGGTTCAGGATTAGCTTATCCGAATCCTTTGTTT